GCAAAAGTTGATTAATAAGACATGCGTAAAGGGCCGTAGCTATCAAGGTGTTGAAAACTGCAAGCTGTCTGAACTCTTCTGAAAATGAAAAGGCGAGAGGCGAAAGGGCGGGGCGACAAGGGTCAGCTCATATCACACCAAAAGATCTCCCTGATGATGGCCGAGGGATCTCATGCCCGATCCCGATCGAATGAGGTAGCCGGCTGCAGCAGCAGCACAAGAGGGTGGTGGAGCGTACTGTGGCGAGCGACACCCAGCGGGGAGGGCGCCGTGATGAGCCCGTGATCAATGCCATCCGCAAGGTGCGGAGGCAGAGCCTTTGATCTCCATCTCCTCGTCTGCTGCTACTGCAGCTCAGCAGCTCTAGCAGTAGAGTGCAGTGAACTACAGTTGCACTGGCCTTGCGGTTGAAATTCCGGGGTGTCCGCTGTTGTGCATTAAATGTACGTCGTAAAATTTTGGATGTTACGTCGATTCGAATGTCACACGAGGAGCATAGGGTATTCAATGCTAATAAAAAATAAATTATAGAATCTATCAATAATTTGCGAGACAAATTTATTTAGCCTTATTAATCTATAATTAGCATATATGTTATTGTAGCATCATATTATTAAATTATAGACTAATTAGGCTTAAAAATTCGTATCGTAAATTAGTCATAAATTATGTAATTAATTATTTTTTAAATATATATTTAATATTCTATGTATGTATTAAATATTTGATGGAATAGGAAGTAAATTTTAATAGGATAGAAGGTAAACTTTACGGGAGGAAGTGAACAACAACTGTACTCCTGCTGCAGGGAGCTTTTCTCGGTGGAAAAGCTGAAAAGCTCATGTGGACTTTTGGGAATCGCGATGTTCTTGGCGAGTCGATGTCGATATTGACATACTGACATGCAATCGCATCGGACCGGCACGTTTCGTCTGGGTGTGGGTGCAAAAGCTCTTCGAATGCCCAGCGGATTATTGATGCCTCTTTTTGTTCAATTGTTCTGACCACGAAACCCAACCATTGTCCGGTGGTCAATCAGAATGATGAACTGATACTACTGTCAAGCTAATAAATATAGCGAGGTAGCGGCTTCATAGCAGATTAATACAGTACTACAGTAGACGTTGAGTTTAAACAACAAAATATAATAAAAAATAGTCAATTTTTAGACTATATAGCAATAATAATATCATGTTTGCCTAAAATGATTAGAAGGTTTAAGGTAACTATTACATTTACTGACATAAAATCACAAAGAAGCATAAAATGAATAAGATATAAAGAAAACACTTGATACAAATTTCCGTTACGTTCTCATATCAATTGAAAATATAATACAATAATTATCTCGTTATTTCTATCATGGTCCAAGTCACTATCTTAACATTGTTATTACTATTGGGACCATACATACATATTGTCATTTGAACCATTGATATAGTGAATAGCGGCCCAACAACAGTAATAGCGCCGTGCAGCAGCGGAAGCTAATAAGTACTATATAGCGGCCGCTAAGTTTCATTGTGGTATATTTGGTCTGCAGTCTTCTAGTTGTAGCTGTCGAGGACTACTACCGCTATATCGACCACTAGTATGACTGCTACCAATTCTATTTAGTACCAAGACTATTGTTTTTTTTACCGGAAATACAACATCGGAGACCCCACTACTAAGGTTTTATTAAAGATAAAAATGAAAATAACTATAAAAAGCAAAAAGAGAAGAAAAAAAAATGCAACAACCCAAGAAGCTCAAAGAAGAACCATTCCTCTTATTGTACCTTTTATTGACTCTACTTCTGCATTTTATTAAAAACAGATTTTAACCATGAATTGCACTCTTAAGTTTAGTATAACAATGTAATAAACGATAATTAAACTTGAACCATGTCGCTCATGATTTGAAATAGGTCTATGTGTGCGTTGATGTGTAATTGTGAGGGATTTAGTCCCATCTTAATTGTTAATGGTGGTTAGACCAACATATAAAGTTTCTAGAATTCATACCAACATCCTGAACGAACCATTTTAAATGAAACGAGAACGAAAGCATAAGTAGTCCACCCAACATGCATAATGGATTTGAGCCATTAAAACTATGGGGTGTTATAATGGTATATATTAAAGTCAACCTTTGCAGGCACGATTGCGTGCGGGTTAATGGCATGGACATGGGGCACATGACGCATGTAGATCCGGAAGATAGTAGTATTAACGAAGCGGGCGGCATGCGTCTTATCGAGCGGAGAACCAGCGGTATTGTGAACAAAGCGTCGCCGAGGGCAAACATTCAAGCGAACGACTTCCTTTTGCATGGATGTAGCGTCGCCCAGAACGACTTTTATTTCCTATATGGAGGGAGTACATGTATCGACATTGGACGCATGGTCGTGTGTGGTAAGAGGGGACATTTTTGGTCATTTGTTTTGCTAGTTATGGGTGCATTCGCTGACGAGAACACCAAACCTTTGAGGGGAGGTGTACGTGACATCTGGCCTAGTTTTAATTAGGCCCATGGTGACCCATGTGTATTGATGTGAAATTATGGGGGCTTAATCCTACCTTGATTGTTGAGGGCTAGAAGTGAGATCAAGGATGTGGTACTAATGTTAACCTTAAGAGGATATTAACATTTAACCTTGTAATTGTTTTTAAATCCAAAGGAATCTCAAAAACTAAACAAGTTTAAACATCTTTGGTTTGCGCTAACGCAACCCCTTTTCAGGATGTTTGATTTTTCTTATCAAATAATATGTGTATTGTATTGTTTTCTTATAAAATTAGAGTAACAATTTACAGAAATTATATGTCACGGATATCAATATAATTTCAAATAAGTTCGGAAGTTTTGAACATGTTGGGGAGTTTTGAATATGGTCAAACTTCTGAACCAAAGTCAACTTGCAAACCCTGGTCAGATTCTCGAGGTTCTAAACTTCCAAACTGTAGGAAACTGCACTAAAACATCTAAGATGATATCCTGAGTGCATGTGTTGTGCTCTAGTGTCTCTCATAGCCTCATAGGGCGTGTTAGATCTTTTGAGCATTGTTTCTAACCTAAGTCATACAGAATTGGGTCCCACTTTATAGTATGATAAGTTCCTAAACTCAAATTCAAAATATAAAATTAATAAATGCATCCTTGAGTCGTCCATGTCGTCCTTGTTTTCCATCTTGAGGGACCAAACTCAACCCACAAGATTAGTTCCTAAATTGATTGTTATTATATATAATTTCAACGGTCCTCCCTCCCACACGGCCACACCTGTCCACCCCAATTGCTCTTAAAATACATTGGAAAATATAAATATAAGGTGTAATAATTCAATTTCATAAGCTGCATACTAAAATTAGATAAATACTAAAATACTTACATGTTCTTCATAAAAAGCACAACTTCGGAGCTGGTCAATTTGAAACGTTCTTTTCTTAGCCCATATTAGGCCCAATAAGCTGTTGGCTTGTAGGGGCAGTCCCAATATGGCATTTATAGTAGTTTCTACCTATCTTAATTACCTTAACAATTCAGCAATTTGCTGATGTGGCAGTAGATTTATTATGGAGAGAGAAGAAAAAACTGAGAAACGGTTTCTTCCAAACGAAACGGAGTCGACTCTCATACCGATGCGCTAAGAAACGATGGAATCAGCGATGGGGAGACTCGACTCGTTTCTTCCTCCTCTCACCCGGATCCCTTGCGCGCCGCCGCCAATTTCCCTAGTGCGCTCTGGTTTCCTCTCCGTTCTCGCGCGCGCCCCTGGTTCGCTCTGGCGGACGCGGAGAGCCCCGCGGTGGCGGACGCAGAGAGCCCTGCAGTGGCGGATGCTCGGGGCGGGCGCGGCGAGCCTCGAGCACGGCGGCGGACACAGAGAGCCGCGTGGTGGCGGATGCTCGCGGTGGTGGATGCGGGGAGCATCGCGGCGGCGGGCGCGGAGGGCCTCACGCCGGCAAACGCTTGGCGGGGTCGACCTCGTGCGGGAGCGCGGCACGGATGGTGAGATCGAGCATCAGCATGTTGTGTCGTCCTCGTCGGCCGCACTGCTTCTCGGCGGACTCCGCGGCGGATGCGCGCCCCGGTGGCTGCTCCGCAAGCCTCGCCAGGAAGCAGCAGCGTCACGACATCGCTGGCAAGCTCGTCCCGGTCGACGGACACGTATGATGACCACGCTGCCGGCCTCGAAGAGCGCCGCGCCGGCTCCACGGGTGCTTCGTCAAGTTGAGGGACGTCACCCGCACTGTCCATGGACGCGTCCGTCGAGGGTAGGAGGCACAGCAACCACGGGTTCTTTGTCATTGTGTGTTGTCGATGGAACACACGTGGGCTGTAAAAATAGTTGTCACAATTGATCTATCTGTTTTTTGTGCTGTATTTAATTTACTCTTTGTATGAATGATGTTATAGAAACCATGGGTTGGAAAATAGTATTTTTTTGTGCGGTATCCTATGTTATAGAAATTACTAGTTTCTTTCATTGGGACTGCCCTAATGCGGGTTAATTGGTGTTGGAGTGCTGTTAAACTTTAACAGTTCGTATAGATGTTAGTCTCTTTATTACGTTCTGGCGGCTACTTTTGTGTGGTTTACCATTGCGTATCAGAAAACTCTAGTGAAAAAAAAAGGCCCAATAAGCAAGACTGAAATCGTTCACCATACTTCTCAAGGCCCAAATTGCACTACGTGGCGCTGTCGTGGACAAGACTCTCATTAACGAATTGAGTGAGCCGTCAACGTCGTCTCAAGGATAAAAGGAGGACATTTCCTTTGTTTATACTATATTGATATTGAAAGCAAGAAAGGTCATTCAAGTTTTGAAATCGACAATACAAGAACAAACAAATTTCTGTTTGAAGCACACGGGCTGCCCACCATGCGCATCTCTATGACAGATTGACTGCGTCCGGAACCAGCTAGCTGCTGGCCCCGTCCGGTAGTGCGACTACTGCTTATTGGAACTACTAGGAGCAAAGCGCCTTCAGGAATCCCCAGAAAATTTCGCAGAATCACAGCATTGCGAGCTCCCTGACGTCGATGGGGTTGACGAAGGTCTGGTTGCCGGCGAAGATCGTCTGCGCGGGATGGTTGGCGTCCCAGAACAGGTAATCGTCGCGGTTGGCGCACACCGGCGCCGTCTCGTTGCACGCGAACGCCGCCCCGAACGGGCCACCGCCGCAGCACGCCGCCTCCAGGTCCGTGAAGTCTGCAGGCACGTACACAGTCGAGCAAAACGATACATGCATCAGATCGATCAGAAACAAATGGTGATCGGCGAATCAATCAACCGGCACATTCGCGGACGCAGAGGGAAGGAGGCGGTCGGCGATCGATCGCTTACTCCAGGCGTCGGTCCGCGGGTTCTCGAAGACGAAGGAGACCATGGCGTAGGCGTTGGCAAGGGAGTAGGCCATGTCGAGCAGCTCGTAGCTCAGCTGCTTCAGCATCCCGGCGAGCATCGGGTAGGAGCGCAGCGAGAGGTCGTTGAGCGGGTCGAAGCAGCCCTGCGTTCCCAGCTGCTTCAGCCGGCGCAGCCTCTGCGACGGGATGCAGCCCAGCGGCGGGATGCTGATGACGCTGAACTTCCTCGCGCCCATGTCATACAAGGCCATGATGTACTGCTTGTAGGCAGCGACCAAGAACTCTATATGTCGTCGCCGGGGGATGCGGAGTACTCGAACATGTCGTTGCTGCCGGTGCTGATGAAGAAGATGGACTTGCGGAGGAGGCTGGCGGTCTTCTTCTGACCCAAGAGATTGGCCATGCACTCAACAACCCCTGAGAAGTGCTCCAGCTGCTGGGACATCGGGATCACCTCGCCAAACTGCACAGCACAGACGGGTTCAGATGGATTAGGCAGCCGTGTTATTATGCATGCCTGTTTACCCACCTGTTCAAAAATTTTTGTGTATTTGGAATCTTGCGGCACGTCGTGGAGCATTAAACGTACGACGAATAACAATTGCATGCGTACCAGTGATTTGCCGGTGCCATCTTTTAAGCAAATAGCCATAATTGACCCTCCTGACGCGAAGTTGATGCCCTTGTACATCTGAGACTTGATGGACTCTAAACAGGCCCTATGCATGCCTACTGACAAGTAGTACGACGCATGACATGCGTACCAGTGATTTGCCGGTGCCATCGGCAAGCCCGGACCCTCCTGACGCGAAGTTGATGCCCTTGTACATCTGAGACTTGATGGCCTTCTCCGACAGGGAGTGTAAGTCGGTGGGCTCGTTTTGAAGCCGAGACCTCGAGCTGTTCACCATCATAGAGAGCGCTAGTCGGTCGGTCATCCACCACTGATCGCATCGCATTGCTGCATTGCTGAACTACTGCCTGGAACCACTTCTGATCCCATGCAGCCGAATCTTGCGATGCGTGCAGGTAATTGCACAGTTTATTTAGAAATCGCGAGACAACGTTTTGAGCCTACTGATACATTATTTGCCAAATAAAAATAAAAGTGCATTACCCAAATTCAACTTTCCCCGTGTTGAAGCCGATACTGAACCGCCTGCCGTGTTGAAGCCGTTACTGAACCGCCCAGTCGGCTTGGGCTTCGACCCGGGAAAGTCGATGCCGTACTGCGGATAGTTGGCTCTGGCCGCAGCGCTGACGTTCAGGTTATTGTTGTTGCCGACGTCCACCGTGGAGTCGCCGAACACGAACGCCGCGGGGACAAGCCGCGGGTGGTGCCTCGCCTCGGCCTCCGTTGCCACGAGCACAAGCAGGCACAGGGCCACGATCACGGACGAGGCAGTCCGCTGGGCCATCGCGGCTCGGTCTCTGTGGCTTTTGCTTGTGCTCTGCTCAGTTACGGTAAGGCTATTCTAATGCTGCGACAAAATAGTTTATTTTATGGTTATCTTGATTTACAATAATATTTATATCAATTTATGATAATGATAATATATATTTATGATATATGAGTTATTATAATTCAAGATGATACTTACCATAATGCTATAGTATTTCACTTATGAGGGAGTTACCATAATCTTTTAAATTAATATAGTAATTATCGTAACTCAAAGTGGCCACAGAATAATTTATTCTACGGCTAGCTACAGAACAATATGTATATATATACTGTTTTGTTATATTGCACCTGGGTGCAATCTGTGAAGAATGCACCCTGGCCAATCGGCGCGTCTTGTCTGGGCAACCGGCCCAACTAACCCACTAATCAGGCGCGCCACACACCTCTACCCTCTCCCACGCCAACACCGCCCCACCAGGCAGCGAGGCAGGCACACAGCGAGCGTGCGAACGAGTTACAATTTGTGTACGACGGAAGTTACAATCGGTTGAATGGATGAGTTGCAATTTGTGTACGACTGAAGATGTAATCGGCTGACGGACTGAGTTGGAACTGGTATATAAATGGAGCTGAGCTGCAACCAGCCGTTCAGGGCAGTTGCAACTGGCCTACCCAACCGGAAAGCAACTGGCCTAACACCAAGGTTGCAATTTGTGTACGACGGAAGTTGCAATCGGTTGAAGGGATGAGTTGAAATTTGTGTACGACTAAAGATGCAATCGGCTGACGGGCTGAGTTGGAACTGGTATACAAACGGAGCTGCAACCACCGTCCGTCAGGCGATTACAACTAGCCTCACCTAACCGAAATGCAACTGGCCTACCATCAATGTTGCAATTTGTGTACGACGGAAGTTGCAATCAGTTGAAGGATGAGTTGCGGTGAGGGGCGCCGCCTGGGCCTCTGATAGCGCGTGGGGTCTCGAGAGATCTGTAGCGCAGTCAAACCGGTCGGACTCAGACCGCACGGCTCGTGCTTCGCCAAGGCGCCACGCGCGTCTCGTGGTTCGCCATGATCGGTGCATTTGCTATCTGAGAATGCACCAGTGTGCATTTAGCCTCATCCTATATATATATATATATATAATACGCTGGTGGCCCTTTAACTTGTTGGCATGTGCCACTTTGGTCCTTTAGCCTCATCCTATATATATATATATATATATATATATATATATATAATACGCTGGTGGCCCTTTAACTTGTTGGCATGTGCCACTTTGGTCCATGAACTTGCAAACTCGAAAATTCGGCCCCTGAACTTGTCAACTTGTTTACCAAAGGCCCATTTCCCGTCCAGTGCGGTCTCTAGTCGACGTGGCAGCGCCAGCGTGTCGGTCGCTTGGTTCTAGCGGGATTTTTGCCGCTCTTGGACATTGGCAATCTTGCAGAGGACACCTCAAGTTTTGCTAAAAGGGCAATAACCCACTGTTTGCATCTGCCCTCTCTCTCCATACCGTCTTCCTCCTGTCGCTCCAGTCGCTCGGATCAAATCGGCCCCATGGCTGGTGAATCAAGGGCGTCGACGACAGATCCAGCCGACATACCGTTGATCCAGTGCAGGGAGTGCGGGCGGGCAAGGGTGGTGCGCCGGGTATCGAAGCAGGAATGGAACTAGGGCATGCGTTCTACTGCTACCCGTTCTACAAGGATAGTGGTTCAGTTAAGATCAAGTTTTACCTGTTTTTGTTAGATCCGAAACTGATATTAGCGATCTTTGTAGCGAGATGGAACCGGATGTCCTTTCTAGAAGTGGGAGAAGGAGTACTTGGAGGTGGTGTTCGGCAAGAAAACTGTTGGTGTTGTATCAGGTCCGAGCAATGCAGGCACAACCATGGTGGAAACACCTAATTTGAAGATGAATACTGATGGAGGACCATGTAGCATGGGTTGGGTAAAGAGGGAAGATGAATCCGTTGAAATGGTGAAAGAAGTAGTCATGGTGCTCAAGGCAATATTTGTAGTATGTGTTGCTCTACTGTTCATGCTCATTCTTGTTCTATTAATCATGTTGGTTGAGTAGGTTAATATGTAATCACTAGTATTGGATTTGTGTTGTTGAATGCCATGACAAGGAACTATGTTGCTTTTGTGTATTCGGTACTGTTGGATGATATATTCAGCAATATTATGTTATCAATGCATCTATCAGTAATTTCAGTAATGCATGTACAACAAGATGAAGTTCACAAATCAAACAATGTGAATTCCTCAAGATGGAAAATAGGCCATAGAATTAAAGCTTGATTTATTGTCACAAATTCTGTGTCCATCAACCATTTCCTAAGGACCTACAAGTCCTGGATGTAAGCCACTAACTTACTACTACCTTCCTGTGCTTATATGGAAGAACCAAAAGATGTATCTATCTTCCCTGTCTAGATGAAAGAACCAAAAGGAAGCAAAATAATCCTAAGCATCAACTAATATGTTTTTGTTGCTGCTTTACAAGTTCACATAAACTGGCCAGTGATGATATTGACCTATACAAAAGCATCATACCACATTCACAGGTCTTCAAGCCTTCTTGTCTTGGTAGCTGTGGTCTTCTTGGTCTTGCCTTGCTGATTAGATTGCCCAGTAGGTGCATTGCGCTTTAACCTTACTCTTCCTGCCTTGGTTGAAGTAGTAGGGGGCACTGGCCTTGCAGTTGGCTGGTTGGTGCTGATGAATGTGCAATCTGGCAATGGTTCCTTCTGAAGTTGTCTTGCTTGTTTGTGAACATTGCATGATAGCAATCTGGCAATGCCTAGGTCTTGCTTCAATGTTTCCAAGAACCACTTCTAAGTAGCCAGAGACTCAACTTCTACAACTCCAAATGCAATTAGATAAATGCAGTCATTTGGATCAATTCCAATTGCAGTGAATATTATCCCTCCATGCTTAGTCTTAAGGTGGCAACCATCTAGGCAGATTATAGGTCTACAACCAGCTAGAAAGCCCCTCTTGCAGGCATCCAAAGAAAAATACAAGGATGATAATAGGTTTCCAGCAAGATTAAGATAGAAAGTGCTCCTTGGATTGCTTCTTCTCAATTCATGTGCATAATCCCACAACTTATTGTACTGCTATTCTTCATCACCAAATATCACCTTCATAGCAAGTGTAGTTCTTGGAGGTGTCAGATTCCATTCCTTCTAGACTGTCCTTGCAAAGTTAGTTAGTGTCATTTTCTGGGGTCCGCCCGAAAGGACTCTAAGCATGTATGAGCAAGCCACTTTGAGGTACATCTCTTCAATGTCCACTTTCTTTGGCAAGTGTGCTGCTCATGATAAGTCTTGATCATCAACCCTTGAGTCATGCTATCACTTGAAGCATATAAATTCTAAAGACACCCATCTGCACAATGAGCCTTCAACCTTTTCTTCTCATTCCTGGGCATCTTGATCTCTACCCTCTCCTTCATGCTATATTGTGTGATAGCCTTCCTGAGTGTCTCAACTGATTCAAATATCATACCAACTTTGAAGATGGGATTGTCTGTGTCTTCACTTCTGAATGACTTAAACCTTAGACCTTGTCCTTCTTCATCAGATTCTGGCAATTCTAGCTCAGATTCATCTGTTGACTCCTCTCCATAAATAGCCAAAGATGAAATATTTTTCCCCTTCAGTTTGCTACCAACAGCCTTCTTGCCCTTACCTTTCTGCTGCCCTTTGCTACCAGTCTCCTCTGTGACATCCTCATCAACATAGTCCACAAAAATATCATCACCATCTCTCTCTAAATCATAATCACTATCACTAAAATCATAGTTATCTTCATTGTCACCATCATCTCCATGCATATCATGCTGCACTGAATCTTGCTGCACTGAATCCTTCTCCATTTCAAATGGTGGCAGTTCTTCTCCTTCTTCCTTTTCAACAAATCCTTCCTTGGCTGGGCTGATTACTTCGAGCAGTGAAGCAATTGGGTTTGCCACTATGTCATCCTAGTTTATGCCAGGCATGTTGTTATCATGATCAAAATAGACAATAAGGTTCTTCACTCTGTCAACAATGTCAGTCATCACCAATGTCTCTGAATCTGACTCAATCACCCTAAGTCCACGAGCAAGATCCATTCCAGGAAGCAACCAGTATATCTTCAGAGCATCTATTTTAGGACATTTCAACTCATCAATAAAATCCAAGAACAACAATAAAGACCAGGTATCTACCTCGCAATGGTCAAACCAGTTCACTTTCCATCAATGTAAGCCTTATTCGAATCCTGACCAACAAAGAAACCATAGTGGTGCACCTCAACAGTGAACTTGTTCTCGGCATCGCCTACATTGAACCAAATGATGCTCATTACTACTTGATTTATTTAGGCTATACCAGGAACCCTAAACCCTAGCCACCAAAACAAACGAAATTGGCCTACACCAGGAACAAGTACATGCACACCACCACATCCTAAAGGCACTAATAAGAAGGTTTTGAGCTTCGATTGACTAACCGTAGTTCGGCGGTGGTTCCCCTTCCGGTCGCAGGCACGGCGCCATGCCGCAGATTCACCGTGACCGCGGCGGAAACCTGCGCTCCCCAGGTATGTCTCGTCGTTGCTCTTTCGCAGAATCTTACAAAGTCGCCGACTTTTGCCTCCGTCGCAAGCCGCCTCGCCCCCAGCACGATGAACTTGAAGAGGAGAAGACAGGATTTTGGAGATTTGAACGAGGCAGAGGGGTCTAGATGCATATTGTCACCTGCGTTCGGTATTGAAACGTGCGGCTCACGTGCTTCGTCCACCACGCTGGCGCTGCCACGTCACCTGGGGGACACGCCGGATGGGAAATGGGCTTGCGGTGAACAACTTGACAAGTTCAGGGGCTCATTTTTCGCGTTTGCAAGTTCGTGGACCGAACTGGCATAGGCCGACAAGTTAAAGGGCCGCCAGTGTATTTTACTCTATAGATATATACTGTGAGAGGATGCACATGGTTCCTTCAGAAATTAACGAAGACCAGCGCAGAATTATCATCGACTAGCTGGCCAACATGCTCTAGATTCTGGAATGGAATTGTCCCCAATCCCGATGCATGCCGATTATTAAAACCCAGCATAGACACTACAACAATGTTGTTACATCTGGCGATGTAATGCAAAGAACGTTGGCTGATTTGTTGTGAGAGAAAAATCACTGTTGGCTGAAAGTGAACAGGGCGGTTATGTGGAATCATCTGCAGGTCGTTTTCATCCAATCTAAGGCTGCAAATGTGTCGTATTCACGGAACAAAACGGTTGAGAATTGCTCTGTTCGCTTGGCTGATAAGCCATGGCTGAAAATACTGTTGGCCGATTTGGTGTGAGAGAAAAATATTATTCGTTGACTGAAAAAGTACGGCTTATAAGCCAAGCGAACAGAGCTTGTGTTTGAACAAGTCCAGATGGCCTAGACCGGTAGCGCCTCGGAGGCAACAGCGACGTCGCGACAGATGCACAACTGGTGCAGCAGCTTAGGACATATCGGCAGGGACGAAGAACGGCACGCATGGCCTGCAGAGAGTGACGCTCTTGGCTCTTACTGGTATTTCTGGATTCTCTGGAATTTCAGTCGAGGACGCGTAACGATTCGTTCAGATTATCACAGAGGGCACGAGAGGTGACATGTTATCTCAGAGTCCAAACTACGCCGCCATCGTCATCTAAACCACAAGAAACATATAATGAATGAACACAGCCATGCATATCCATTGTCCTACACACCAATATCACCAACACAGACACACACGGCCGTAAATCTATGGCGTAAGCAGCAGCAACGGTACACGTCGCACGGGTAGTACGTCCTCGTGCTCCGCTGCTACCTAGTATCGGTCGTCTTCCACCAGCTGCCTGAAGTTTATGGGCGCTGCGAAGTGGAGCGAGCCGTTGTAGATGGCGGCGGCGGCGAGCTTGGAGGTGGCGTGCGTCGGGTGCAGCAGGTCCCAGAACAGGTACTCGTGCCGGTTGTCGCACAGCGTCGCGTTGGGCGTGCACCCGGACTCCCCGTTGAACCGGCCCGACCCGCAGCACGCGTTCGTCACGTCCTTGAACCCTGCACGAGTGCACGTCAGTTTCAAATTTCACGTCAAACCCGGGCACCCGGCGGACACGACGATCCTCTCAAGCCTGAACCGCATCGATCAGTTAGCTGTTCAGGGGCAACACGTACGTACGTACCCAGCCTTTGAGGGTGCTTCATGATGCTCTGCGCCACGGCATGGGAGCTCCCGACGGAGTACCTGAACCCCTGGAAGCTCAGGCTGAGGCCGTGCATGGCGGCCTTGACGCCCTTGTTGAACCCGCGCGCCAGCTCGTTGAGGACGTCGATGCAGGCGCCCAGCGGGTGCAGGCTCCGCGGGTAGGGGCAGCACCCGATCGGCGGGACGTCGATCACCGCGAACTTCCTCGCCCCGAGCACGTACAGAGCCTGATTCAACCGCCGCCGGCCGGCCGGCCGGCCGCAACACACGTTTCGTTTCAGCGAGGTTTCTCGGCGGGTCATGCATGGTTCAGAGAGAACGGGGCGGCGCGGCGACGTACCTTCACATGGTTCTGGTACAGCGCGACGAGGTTGCCGACGAACTGCTGCTTGTCGGCGTCCGACGGCGTGCTGTTCCGCGAGAAGAAGGCGAACAGGTCGTTGCCGCCGGTGCTGACGAGGAACAGGGACCGCGACAGCAGGGCGTCGGCGGCAGCCCCGTTGCCGACGCGCGAGGAGATGTTGCGCTGCACGGCGGCGAATTGCTCCACCTGCTTGCTCAGCGGGATGATGGAGCTCCCCTGCACGAACAGAGTCATCCACGTGTGTCATCTTTGCTTGCAGTGCCCGTGCAGGAAAGTAAACGTGCACGGTAACTCTGGTCACGAGCGGCTTACTGTTGTGTCGAGAATGCCTGATCCTGCAGAGGCGAAGTTTACTCCCAGGAGACCTCTGAAGACCTGCTTGTTGGTCTTGTTGGCCACGGCGAGGAACGGCGGCGGGCTGCGCTTGAAGCCCATGTTCACAGCTGGTAGAGTTGAACCGAAGCCTTTTAGTTTTAGTTTTAGTTTTAGCACCAGATGAACATGTTCACAACACGATTCTCCTGCTCGCTGCAGTTCTCGTGTTCTCAGAACTTGAAGAATACTCTACAATCATTTTCGAAACTGTTCTGTTTCCTACCTGTAGTTGCAGACAACAACTAAAGGATTGACAAGAGCAAATGTTCAGAGCAGTTGAGCGACAGTTTAGATTTTATCGTCTCAAAGGTGCTCAGGAAAAAGGTCGTGGAACTGGAGAATATGTGTGGGGGTGAGTCTGTGAAACTGTGTGACCATGGGGTGGATATATTTACTGTTTCTCATGTAACATGTGTCATGCAGTTTTTGGAAGCCATGCAGAAGAGGTGCCGCCTTGTTCGGTTCCTCCACCGTAAAGTACTAAAATTTACTCTCTATCACATCGGATGTTTGATATATCTATGAGTATTAAATATGGATTAAAAAATAACTAATGTTTCCTGTCGTCACTTTGGCCAATGAATTAGCGCCATTTCGGGCTAACCCCTCACATAAACACTGCTCTGTTTCCCAGCCGTCACTTTGGCCAATGAATTAGACTCATATATAGTACTGTACTCCCTCCATTCAACTTTGGCCAATGAATGACGTTTCTAGCGACACCAAATATCCGATTCTGGCCAAATTCCATACGCACCTCCAGGCTCCAGCCAACTTTGAAGGACGTTTTCTGATGGCTATTTTGGTTTGGTTGCAGTTCTACTACTCTGCTGTCCAAAACGTCATATAAAGATGACCGGAGGTCGGAGTTTTTTTTTTATGACGCTTGTTTTCTCTGTCATATAAGTAAGTTGTAAATAGTTCTTTAATTTTCAATAAAAGCTCAGTAGGGGGAGCACCCCCTCCTGTTTTCCTCAAAAAAGTAAGTTGTCAACACTGAAACTCAAACTTGTCGGGAAATTCGGAAGTGTAGCTAGTAATCGGCTAGAGCGTCAGTTTAATCTTTAAAGACACTCTGCAAGTCTTCACTGCAAACTCTAGCGCCATCCAAGATCTTCCAGTGCTAAGATGGGGGAAAGATATATATATTTAAGGGCTCGTTCGATTATCTCAGATTTGACCTCTGAAATAATTCATAGCCGGATTGCTTTTCTAATTTATATAAGCTTTTGTCATCTGGAACAATTCCTGGGGAATCCGGGCTAACCGAACAGGCCTAGGTGAAAACGAGCACGGTAGTGTATCATGCATGCAGCAGGCAGAAGCTATGAGCTATAAATATGCTGGTCAACCAAAATTCATCTCGACACAACTCACACGATCCTTCGTAACACTGAGTCGCAAAACTCTGAACCACAAATGACCTTGGCGCGCTGTAACTGCTATTGAGACTTGAGAGCTTACCCAAGAAGTCGACGCCGTTGTATCCGTTGCTGAACCTGCCGGTTGGGCGCGACGTGGGGAAGTCGACGCCGTTGTGGGGAAAGTTGGCCCGCGGCACGTCGCCGCCCGGCAGGTAGTTGTTGTTGCCCACGTCCGCCGTGGAGTCGCCGAACACATAGATCGCCGGCACCTTGCTACTCCCTGCCGCAGCCGCGTCCACCGCCGCGGCGCAGGCGGCGAGCAGAACATGCAGGACTAGCACTGGCGGCACGGTGGCCATGGCCGGCCGGACGGCTGCGATTGCCAGGCGCTGATGCTCGGCGTAGTGCGCAGCTAGCTAGTGATGATTACTGGGTTTGGCCTGTGGGACTGGGGGCCGGCGGTGCAGGCTGGTCGATGGTCGCTGCTGCTCGGCTTTGGGAAAGGGCCGCGCCAGCCGAGACCGGCACGGCTTGGCGCTTTAAAGGGAGGTGGCGGCAAGCCGTAGTGGCTCGCTTTATGACCGTGCCAGCCAGCGGCATGGCACCACGACTGGTAGTGGTAGTACAATAATGGCGGCCTTGGCAAAGAGGACCGTGGCGTGATGTGGCTGCGTTCGGCAAGTGCGTCGTCGTCTTGGGTCCGAGGGGGCCGACGTATCCACGCCGTCGTAGACGGGAGCGGTGACTAGAAAGTATAGAAATGAGCGGTGGGCAGGATCTCCTACATGCTGTGTACTTGTGAATCTCTCTTGTTTGGTAGAACTAGAGTACGGACTACTTTGGAGAAGGGAAAACACAGACAGGAATTGTGCTGTGCAAAGGCAGATCTCCCGGTGTGTGCTTTAGTTCCAGCAGAACATGTTGGGATCTCTACCTCTCGATCTTCATTCACTCACTCAAGTGCTGTGGTCCTCTGCTCTGCTATAGGATATATGCACATCGTAGTCGTAGAACAATGAGATTGGTTTTCCTATTTTCTGATTGAAATACTGGACGGAATGAAGTATCGTGGCTTAACTGAACTGGTTACTTGGAACTGTCACATTGTCAACAGAATATATTCTACGAACAAACACCTGGCCAGGAGTAACTTGGCTTAATTGAACTGACTACTTCGAACAATCACAGTGTCAACAAGAGAATCAGCATGTTCACTTGTTGGTTTCAGCCAGGGATTATCAGTCAACCCACAGTATTTTTCTCTCACAACAAACCAGCACCAACCGGACTTATTAGCCTAGAAACCAACCAGCGAACAGGCTGAATATATTCCACCTATCAATGCCAATTGACACTGATACATTTGTGCACGCATAAGGCATAACACAACCCCAACACGCTTACGAACCTTGAAAGATTGAAAAGGCCAGACGGGATCCACAAGTACCGCGGTTAATACACTGGCTAGTGGGATGCAGCATCCTGAGATCGGCCACACAAGCTTGCTCCAGCTAGCTTATTCCTGTACGTTTTATTCATCGGTTTTCCTTTGCTCAAAGCATCCAATAATTCTATCTTTACGCTTAGATAACTGTAGTTACCATTCCTTACGTTTTAGGTGGTGTTTGGTTGTATCTCCTAAATTTTAGTCGTTGTCCCATCGAAGGTTTGGACACATGCATAGAGTATTAAATATAGACTAATTATGAAACTAATTGCATAGTTTGCGACTAATTTGCTAGACGAATCTTTTAAGTCTAATTAGTCCATGATTTGACAATAAGGTGGTACAGTAAACATATGCTAATGTCGGATTAATTAGGCTTAAAAATTTCGTCTCGTGAAGTACTGACGGATTATGTAATTTGTTTTTTTATTAGTATCTGAACACCCCATACAACATCCTCTCGACACATCTCCTAAATTTTAGTTACTCGATCAAACACCCCTTAAGCTATAGCGTGTCAGTTGCAGCTTTTTGCTGCTTGGCGGACAGAAAAGAAGATCCCATGCAGGTATATACGTACGTGTGACCTTTTTCGCCCTTTGCAAAGCAACAAAAATAAAACGACAGCAGTGGACAGCGCCGCCTTTTTCTTTTGACTTTTTGAGAGATGAGGCCAGAGGGTTCCGCGATTCACTTTCTGATGATAAGATCTGATGCCCTGCACATAGCAGCTTTTATTTTACCTGTTTTACCGCGTGTCGCTGTTCAAGCTGCAGCAGCGTGCATCTTTTACCTGCCGGATCTTCGACTACGTACGTACTAGACGCGCAGCCTTTATTAGCGGTATGACTTCATCTTTCAGTAAGTAATCACATAATAACATAGGGTAGTTGAGTATAATAGCATTTCAGAAATTTTTCTTAAACTCACACTCTAAATTATCATTTAAAGTCAGTTAAATAAAAATCATTCTCTATATTTTTTATTTTCCAACAGATTTTCTATATCTTGTGCGTAGAGCTAATCACGTTCTCTGTTTTTAGCTAGCGAGAAATCCAGAATTTGAAGACACTACCACAAAAACAATTTTTGGAGATAGATATAGCTCTCACTACAATTTAAAACTTTGCAGTTGAAATGTTTTTATTTCAAATCGTTTACCGTTCTAAATATGTGTTTTAGGTTCATGTATTTTTTAAATTGAAAATTTTGATTTTCTAAACAACCTTGAATGTCCACATACTTAATACCAAACTTTGTTGTTGATGAGTTTTTTATTTGAAGTTTTTTAGTGTGTCAACTATTTGTTTTAAATTCACATATTTGATATTCAAATTTATAAATTTTTATCTCGGATGATGACGCATCATATACCAAAGTTATAGATCATGACAAGATTTAAAACATTGTAGTTCAAACTTTTTCCATTTGAGTTCATTTAAAAGCCAAAATATCTAATGCAAGATTATGTAATATTTATTAAAAAAAAGATAGAATCCTTCATATACTGACAAGTGAGTATATGGTGCGATGGTAAGAAGGTATTATTGCTGAGTAGTAGATTGTGGGTTTCAGTCTTTGAGAAGCACTTAATTTTCATAGATGGGCAGTCGCATAGCTTGCCCTCTTCTGAAATAAAAAAATGCGCGCCTCTGAAAGTCTTTTTGTACTAGTGAGAACTAATTATAGAAAATGATTGGAGGACATGTTTTTACCAAAATCTCTATTCTATCAATAAAGAATAGTAATAAATTACATGTCCTCCAAATACAGTTATACATTTTTATCTGAAACATTGTATTCAAATTACATGTTTTTTTACCAAAATCTCTATTCTAGCCATCAATTCGGTGTGCCTATAAAAGTAAAAAAAAAATTACATCCTTTTTGAAACAAGAATGAGAGGCTAAAATTACATTAGTTCTCGGAGGGAGAGAGTATCCATATACCATTACCATTATGAAACGTAATCTAAAGTGGCCCTAAGTTTACATGTACTCAACCCATCATTATGAAAACATAACCTAAGGTAACTCCTTAAATTTGTCTCTAAATTACACTATTGTCGTTGTTAAAATACTGACATATGCTATTATGATTCTAGCATGTGTGGGAATGATGAACTAGTACTTAGAAATTAGCTGCCACCATGAAATACTGTTCAGAAATCCGTGAGGCCTTTTCGATCTGTCGTATTTTATTGCTTCGTTTTCCTCCACACCTCCACTACTACACAGAGGCACAAATAATTGTATGGTGCAAGTGTGTATTAGCTTACGAGGCATCTTTTCCTACTGCTCTTTTCCGTTCGTCGAACACGCACTACAAAACACACCAGCGCACGTTCTAGCTGTAATCATTCCGATGCAGGTCGATCGATGGAGATTCCTCCATCGCGTCTCTCATCTCTCTCCTGCTTTGTGGCTGAGACCGTGAGACACTGGGACGTGAGTGTCAGCGTGTCGCCCGCGTAAAAAATACCGCCAATGACCCCACCTGGTGGTGAGGACCGCCACTGCCCGTTCAGCGAGTCGGACTCGGATCTGAGGTCGGCATAGCCGTGCACCGCCGAGTTGTGGGCATGGCCTAGGCTATATAGGGTGACCCCGACGCAGCGATGGCATGATCTCGGCCTTACAAGCGTCATCATCGTTATCTTGCAGCCTTGCGGGAACTGGCCACATTTTTGTTCTTGGTTTTTCCCAGTGCATGCGGAAACGCGTGCAACCACATGTACTGTACGATCGTACCGTGCGCGTGCGACCACTTGCGCCTTGCACGCCCTAACCGACGACGATCGGTTCAATGCGAACACGGCGCATCAGACCAAAATTGGCCATCTTGTGCAGCCTAAACGCAGCGACAAGACAAACTACGGAGTATATATATCGGAAAAAGAAAAGTCATTCGCCCCATTTGCATGCATTCCTTCTTTTTTTTTTTTTGATTGATGAGTGGAATTCTACTTATCACGTGAACTTGTGAACCAACGAGGCCCAGATGTTATCTCAACTCAATTTGGGCCGATATCGACTTGTTCGGCCCAATTAACAGTAAGAAAAAGGATAAGGCAAAGGAATGACGAGGTAAGCCCATCGAGAATCTGCCATCAGAATACCTGTAGAGATTCCTCTCGAAAACACTGTACAGATGTATGTCAAAATGTAAAAAAATGTAAGGGGCTCTAATGTGTTCCTGCATTGCATCAGTTTTCAAACCTCCATTGTGATTTTACTTATTTTTTCAATAATGCTTGGCCACAGGCGTCCGCCCCATCCGGACGCCCCGCGCCTCAGTCCGCCTCGCTGCTTTCTCCAACCGTGTGCCACACCCCACGCAGCTTGCTCGCTTGCTCCTCGCTCCAGCCACACGCCGCCTGCCCTCACTCGTAGTGCGCGCTGCTCGCCTAGCCGAGCCAAGACGCGGTGCGGGTGATGGTTGTGCTCGCGCGCTGTCGTTGGTGCTGGTGCTCGTGGTGTTCGCGCGCCGCCGGAGCCCACCCCGACGATCGGAAATCGATCGGCCCTGACCTTTCCCCCCCTATGTTGCAAATATATGCTTTAAGTGTTTCAGATGTTCCTGAGGTATGTTGCAATTGTTTCATATGGACGTTGCAAAAGTAGATCGAGATATTGCACTTGCTTCAAAGGTATGTTGCAAGAATTTGTCAAAATGTTTCATCTGTTTCACACGTATGTTACAAGTGTGTTTATCTAGATGTTGCATAGTTCAGGTGTTTCAGAGGTATGTTGCAAGAGTTTGTTCAAAATGTTTCATCTGTTTTCATATGTATGTTGCAAGTATTTTTATCCGGAAGTTGCATAAGTTACAATGGCTACGTTGCAAGCGTATGTTTCCAATGTTTCACCGATTTCAGCCGTACGTTGGAATTGTTTGCAAAAGTTGATCTCGATGTAGGGTGGTCGAGCGAGGAAGAGAGAGCTAGCGTGGGAGCTATGGCGCCGCCGGCTATGGTGGCCGCGCTGCACCGGAGGACGCGCTGGCGTCCGCGGCCCTAGAGTGGGTCCTCATCACGCTACTCCTGCTCAACAGCCTGCTCGCCTACGCCATCGCCGTCGCGCGAGAGCCATCATGGTGTGGTGACACGGGTGCGGTGGGCGGGCTCTCATATTACGCCGGTGCGACGGAGGCAGGGGGACGGGACAGGGCATGGCAGGTGCGTCAAACGGGAGCTGCGTCTGGACGCGGGCCTGGGGCCGGACGTACGGGTGCTAATCTTGTCTTTATTTTTTTCCAATATTACGATTTTGCATCTTTTTTGCAGATTAAGTCCACTTTTGGCCCCTCAACTATTGTGTTAGTCTGATTTTAACCCCCAACTACAAAATCGTCTAGTGTTGGTACCTTAAATGTCAAAACCGTTCAGTTTTAGCACCTCGTTGCGAAAGAGGCTGTTTTGTCCAGCGTGTAAAGAGTTTGACCATGCCACGCTGGCATTGACCGCCACGTAGGACGCTGGCTTGCATCTCAGCGACATGTGGAGCCCACGCGTCACCCACTCATTCCCTCCCCTCCTTCCTCTAGCTCCAGCAGTATTCGGCGGCGGCGTCATCTCCATCCCCGGCTCCGGCCGCTCACCCGAGGCCACATCGCGGACCGCCCCTCCACCGGCCTTGACCACGGATAGCTGACCCCGCCCACCCGATTTCGCCCCACTGCTTGGCGTCCGTCCCACCACGAGGAGCCAGCCCACGCAACCTCTTGCGCCACGGCCCTGCGCGACCTCCACGCCCCACCGGCAGTCTCCACGCCCGCGGCTACGGCTCCGCGCCTCGCGGCTGGCGGCCCCTGCGACGACCTCCACGCGACGGAGGCAGGGGGACGGGACGGGGCGTGGCAGGTGCGTCAAACAGAAGCTGCGTCCGGACGCGGGCCTAGGGCCGGACGTACGAGCGCTAATCTTGTCGCTATTTTTCCAATATTACGATTTTGCCTCTTCTTTTTTTTTTTGCAACTTTAGGCAATAATGTTTGTCTACTCGGAATTGTCTACTTTTATGAGTACTCTGTTATGTTACCCCTATTTTAACATTTATAACATTTTGGATGACCATTGAAAAAATAACTGTCATTAAATTGTAAACTAATAAATTCAGTAAAATATAAACACTTATATCAAATCAAGATAGAAAGTACCTAGCTAACCGAGCTAGTCTCCGTTGTCCCGTGCATCAGCCAGAATGCTACATACAGATAAGATCCATCGCAGAAGAAAGATACAAATAAGGCAATGCACTGGATAACAAGTTTCTACAATGCCAACATCCAAATGATAATTAACAAGGATCACAACGGGAGAATATATATATGTGCACTGTGCAGAAACCAAAGCAATTATTAATGCATAACAATGTCCACGCACCCCAGACGAATTAGAGGGTGTTTGGTTCTTTAGTCGCTCCTAAAATTTATGTCACATCAAATGTTTAGAGGCTAATAAAGAGTATTAAATATAAATTAATTACAAAACCAATTACATAGATGGAGGCTAATTTCCGAGACGAATTTTTTAAGCCTAATTAATCTATCATTAGCACATATTTACTGTAGCACTACGTTGTCAAATCATTGACTAATTAGGCTTAAAAGATTCATCTCGCAAATTAGTCGCAAGTTATGCAATTAGTTTCGTAATTAGTATATATTTAATACTTCATGCATGTGTCCAAATATTCGAGGTGACAGAAATTTTAGGAGGAGGGGAAGGAACCAAACATGCCCTTACAATACGCAACTGCTCATAATAACAAACCCAAGTACACGACATCCAGACCCTGACTTGGAACCAAACTGAAGCCCGTACCAAAGCCTACACAAGCAGCAACACTCACTACCACCAGTACTGGTCGGGCTTAAAGCACACGGACCTTGACCATGCGATCCACCTTGAAATTAAACAAACTTGTTAAAAGCAAACCAGAACCAAAACGCACGCCAACGCTTCTGATCGCCCAAGTAAGGCCCGGCCAGGACAATCTGCATACGACCTTAGTTGCTGGTCTTGTGCTCGCCGGCGGCGTCCTTGTGGTCTTCTTCACATGAGCTCTTGTGGTAGCCGGGTATCTTGTCCATGATCTTGCCCAGCAAGCCCTTCTTCTCCTTGCCATCCGGGCTGCTCACGTCCTCGGCGTGCGGCGCCGGCGCCAGGGCGTGGACGGCCGGTGCGGCAGCGTCTCCTTCCAGCTTCTTGTGGACACCGGGGAGCTTCTCCTTGATCTTGTCCAGCATGCCTTTCTTCTCCTCCTCCGGTGCCGGCGGTGGGGTCTCGGTCTTCACGTCGTCCTCGACCTTCTGGACGACGACGCCGTGGTCGTGCTGGTGGACGTGCGTCTCCACGTGCGGGGGAGGCGCCGGGGCCGGGAAGTGCGGCTTGTGCTCTTCCTCCTGGTGGTGGTGAGCGTGCGTCTCCACCACGGGCGCGGGCGCCGCCGCCGGGGACGGTACGGAGGCCGTGTGGTGGTCGCCCTCGTGGTCCTTGTGGTGTCCCGGCAGCTTCTCCTTGATCTTCTCCTTGAGGCCCTTCTTCTTCTTCCTCTTGACGATCTCGCCGTTCTCATCGATCACCTCCTCTTCCTCATCGCTCGACTGCACGCACGACGATCGCAGTGGTCAGAAAAACCAGTACACAACACGTACTATGAGATGCCGCTTTTTTACTGATCCGAAGGAGTGAATTAGCAGATGATCATGTTTATGACGAACTTACCGAGCTGGAGCTGGAGCTGGTGCGGTGCAGCTTGGCGAGAAGGCTCTCCTTCTTCTCGCCGGCGGCCTCGTGCGCCTCCTTGTGCTCGTGCTCCTCGGGCTCGGCCACCGTGACCTTCTCCATGCCGGTGGCTAGCTCCTCCTCCTGCTGCTTCTTCTCGTGGTCCTCGTGCTTCTTCCTGCCGAGAAGGCTGTCCAGGAGTCCCCTGTCCTTCACCTCCACCTGATCGCCGCCGGCGTTCTCCTGGGCCTCACCGCCCTGGTGCTGCTGGGTGTTCCTCTCATCCTCCATGATCGCCGAAACACAGATGGATTTCCCAACTAAACAACTGAACAGATCAGCAGGCTAGCTACTAGAACTCGCTCCTGACTGGTTTCAACGTCTTTGGCTTTCGGATGGAGAAGGGGGTGAGGCCGGAGGCGTCCTTATATATAGAGCATCAGCAAGCTAGGCCACCGAAAGGCGTCCGCTGTGTGACGTTCCAGCTGCGTTGATGCGATGCGACGGAGGTAACGTTTCGTTTTCGTACGCGTAGGCTACGCGACGCGAGGAGGGCAGGACAGATCAGCCGCGGGCGGGAAACGGAGGTCGGTTGGCCGACGCCGACGGGGACATGGCCTGCTGGTGGCCAGTGGCGTCACGACGCGTGTCGGGCCCCGCGCGTGGGGCGGCCCGGTTCCGACGTGGCGGTGCCTCGAGGTGCGTGGACGGCGTCGGGAGAGGTCGGCGCCATGTGGGCACAGGCCGGGCGGCCCGGTGACGCGCGCGGGCGAGAAAGCGTGGACGGCTCGCGGCCATCGCCCATCGGGCAGGGCGGTCGGCGGTCGGCGTGGTTTTCTGCTGCGTGCTCTGCTCCACTGCCGCTTGGCGTTACCCACCCGCTCCGCTGCCCGCGCGACGCTTGTCTTCCGTTCATCAGTTTTCTACGATTTCATTAAGTACTTAGGTTCATAGAAAAATGGTAGTAAGCGTTTTTCGTTCGCTTTGGATTCGTCAGACCTGAATAGGGGCACCCAGGCGTTAGCATCAGTTTTTTCAGCCGGATGCTCTCACCTCTTTCTTTATCAGAATTCAGAAGACGTGTCATGTGTACTCATCAGTTTCACCTTTGCGTTGCCAGATTGAAGTTTGCAAGTTGCCAATGGGCGACGCGACGCGGGCACGAGAGTGATTGACTGATTGCACTGCACGGGGGGTGCAATGACTAGGACGACGGGAGACGTCTAGAGGCCTCGACGTTGACATGTGGGTCCGGGCGCTGATCCGTCGCCGGGCGGCGACAGAACCTTAGCGAAAGCCGGTGGTGGTGGGGCTAGTGACTGGATTTGGCCCGACTACGGGCTAAGCAATCCGGCCAGGACGATTAATCAACGGCCCCAAAAGTCCTGGACCTGTGACCATTTTCCTCCTGCTCTTTCGCTTTGATGAGCTTTCGTTGGGGAAAATGTCGGTGGCGTGTTTGAGTGGCGTGTCGGCCTTTTGGTCTCTTTTCGCCGTCCTTCGCCGCGGGAAACTCTCTGGGCAAGCGCGGGCCACACCGGCCGGCCGGCATGTACCCTTTCAGCTCGCATCGATTATTGACTTTCGATGCGTTAGCCCTTGTTCCATGAATTTAGAATTGGGGACTACTATAGCACCTTCGTTTTTATTTGGCAATTATTGTTTAAACATGGACTAAGTAGACTCAAAACGTTCGTCTCGTAATTTCTCATCAAACTGTGCAATTAGTTTTTTTCAACTACATTTAATGCTCCATGCATGAGCCGTAAACATTCGATGTGACAGATATTGTAGCACTTTTTGGGATTTTGGACTCCAACTAAAGGGCTTAAGATGGATGCGGGAGCTGTGGATCGGTGCGAGGGAAAAGTTTGGCGCCGCGAGAGTAGGACGCGATTTGGACTGGACGTCTGGACCGGAGCGTTGGTTCCTGGTCCTCGTGGAGATCTTTTTACCGCGCGTCGATGAAGTGAGAGGGGGATAAACTAGTCAAGGCATTGGATCCCGCCTGCACCTGGAAAGCAGTCCAGGGACGAGGGGCGCCTGGGACCCTGGGAGGCAAGCCCTCCGGCCTTTGCACCGGCGTCGTACCACGGAGCAGACACGGGCTCCAGGAATCGATTCATCAGTGCAGCGGCACGCCGAGGCGCTCACTTTGATTCCTCGCCACATGCCTGCACAGCACAGCTGGGAACTCTGTACTGCGTCCATTGACGCGAGGATATTTAAGGGCGTGATTGGTTCACTTCTCAGCCCATACTTGGCCAGTCTCATGAGGGGTGTTTGTTTCTTAAATCGCTCCTAAAATTTATATCACATCGAATATTTAGATCTAATAAAGAGCATTAAATATAAATTAATTATAAAATCAATTACATAGATGGAGGCTAATTTACGAGACGATTTTTAAGCCTAATTAATCTGTCATTAGCACATGTTTACTGTAGCACCACATAGTTAAATCATGGACTAATTAGGCTTAAAAGATTCGTCTCGTAAATTAGTCGTAAGTTATGTAATTAGTTTTGTAATTAGTTTATATTTAATATTCCATGCATGTGTCTAAACATTCGATGTGATAGGAATTTTAGGAGCCCCTGTAGAAATCAAACAGGGCCTCAGTGCATGCAACAACATAATATTTGATAGCCTGTGTCACTGTAACCTGGCCACATAGGCACAGTGTTTGGTTGATAACATGCACCAGCATCATTGCGGAAGCACATGCAGCCTTGTTTGTTTGGTTTGCTGCAAACACAGGGTTCCAATTACCTCTTGGTTTGGATGGTGAGCATATCCCATATAACATTCTTACAGCAATTTAAAAAGTAAAAGCCAGCACATGGATTAAAGCCAGCACATGGATTAATCGTCCTGCACATGGACCAATAAATTTACAGCAATTTAAAAAGTAAAAGCACAATGATTAAAGCCAGCACTAAGATAATGACATCCTTAGGCCTCGTTCGCTTCGCTGAAAAAACAAGCTGAAACACTATTCCGACTAATTTGTTATGAGAGAAAAACATTGTTCCAGCTGAAAAAAACAAGCTGAAAAAGACGGATTATAAGATAAACGAACAGGGCCTTAACAATAAATGGAGACTTGATCGCCTCTGGTACAGATACAACAGGCTGCATCTCTTCTTCTTCAGGAACTCCATGTGCAGGTTGCACCTCTTGTTCTTCAAGGAGTCCATATAATAAGCAGCATCTGCCTCCTCCTTGGTCCTGTATTTCTTGCAGCATCCACCTCTGTAGCCATCAACTTGAGCGTGGGCTAAACCCCAGCTAGAGAAGACCCCAGTTTGTCGTCCAATATGAACCACATATCAAACCATGGCTGCTTATTATGACAAGAATCATTGATTTATTGTGCAATCCAAAAAGTACTAGCAATGATGATGAAAGAAATGAAATTGTACATAGCATTGTTCAAATGAACTAAAATGTTGAAGATAACATATAGGCAGCATGTCAAAAATTGTTGTTGGCCTAAGAAAAATTACTATCATCATTTGATAATGATGTTGGAGCATAAGGGCACAAAGATTCTTACAATAATATAATACTGGCAGGAACTAAAGTGTTAAATATAACATACAACAAGCACGTAAGAAATTATGGGTGCCCAGTACCTTACAACACCAATATCATCGGTTGTTTCCCCTCATAAGTCATGTATATGGGAAATTTATCATCATAGACAAAACATGGAAATACAAATAAGCAACTCATGAAATATGTTGTTATCACAGGCAAAACCTCCATACAAAAAGGCAACTCATCAAAGAGATGCTCATCACTAGGAAAAATTCGATAGAAATAATTGCCAACTCATAACACAGATTTTCATCACAGGCACAAATAGGCAATGACAGTGGCAACAGTAAGTTGAATATTAAAGAGATGACAATCCTCACAAGAATATAGAAGGGACTAATATATTAATGCAGTCCATGATAATTAGCTGATTAATCCATGAAACCATCAATCCAGTCTCTGATGGTTAGGCCTAGGTGGGGCAAATAGCCAGCCACATGATCTAGAGGGGCCTAGACTACACCTCAAGGGTGAGTATCACCTATCTATGCAGGTTAGATGGTGGCCACACTATATTACAACAAAAGTTAGTGTTTTTCATCCTCACTACTTCACCACATCCCTGCACAATTGTAGGTCAAAAGTCACTGCACAAAAGACATCTATCACTGCACAAAAGCTGGATCAATGCAGCAGTGATGGCAACTTCACTGGCTGGTGTAGTAGTGCCTGGTGAGGATATTCCTCAGCTCAAATCAGTGAATATAAAAGAAGTAGTAATCACCATTACAATCATCATTGCATATGCCACTTGACAAAAATTAACAAAGACAACATATTCCCATATGTCTCAATTCATTATTAAATAGTCACAGTATGGGAAGTAGTAACCACATATACAATAGACATAAAAGTTTACACAACAGAACAAACCCACTAAATAAATTCCTACACATGGGATTGACCCCTGTTGTTCCACATTTACTGAGCTATTTCATCCCTTTTACTAGCCCAAGCTGCATTATCAAACACATGAACACTATGGTCATCTGGTGGGTTGTTGTTAGGCTCCCAGGTTAGACTCAGGAGGGAAGCATTCATCTAAACCATGACCAATTATCCAATTGTAAAGGATGTAGCATGCAAGTACTAGCTTAACTTGTGCCTTGTAAGGATGAAAATGTTTGCTATCAAGAATACGAAAGCGGTTCTTCAAAGCCCCAAATGCCCTCTCCATAGTGACACGCAAACTGGAGTGCCTCAAGTTGAACAGCTCTTTGTGATTTGTAGGATAATTCCTCCCACTATATTCATTGAGATCGTACCTAGTACCACGGTAAGGAGGAAGGAATCCAGGCCGACAGGCATATCCCGCGTCAACTAAGTAGAATTTCGCTAAAACAGCGATGCACATACATCAGTCCCACTACATATCTTGTGACACTATGTAAAGCTACCAGTTTTTATTTAAATTACCTTGTGGTACCCTTAACCCATAGTCTCTCTCGATAACATCAGCAAGGATGAGTGCATCGTGTGCAGAACCCTCCCATCCAGCCAATACATATGTGAATTTGAGGTCAAAATCAACTGCAGCAAGAACATTTTGGCTGGTGTAGTGCTTTCTACCCCTAAAGGCTACTGCAATTTTGGCGGGCACTCTAGCACGCACATGAGTACCATCAATTGCCCCCACACAATTCTACAATTTTCTAAATTTTAATTTGAGATATGGTAGATTGTATGTCATTTATTTTCAAAAGGTGTATGGGACAATTTGTACCTTGAAATATGGATACCATCTTGAACTTCCCATGATCTTTGGTGCCGTGTCATTAGAAGGTGGCCTAATCATGTTATTTCTAAGCTCACCTATAGCATATAACACCTCTCTGAAATATCTACTGTCTCAACGAATCTTACAAAAGATTAGTGGATAACCCTGAACCTTTGGTTGTGGCTGACCACATACAGGAACATTACAACATGTTCCTCCACAGAGCTATGTATGCTATCTGATAGCAAGTTTCTAGTCCTTAGTAGGGTACATATTTGAAAGAACGGGGCTCTCCTCATACGTAGCATGTTTACACATTATACGTCATTGGAATTGTAGATTTTATTCAGATAAATTTAGCGCTCTTGATCTCTCTGGCTCATTGGACCAAAGGTGAGTCGAGGAGTTTGGTTCTCAGCCATGGTAAGGGTGCTAACTAAGAAGACATAGATAGCTGTAACCAGAGCAACAACTTGAACAATGAGCATGCGCCTATTGTCTTCCCAGCTCATCTAAACAACATATAAATAAAAAATCATGCTCTCATATGTTTTTGAACATCGCAGGCATGGGCATATGTAAAGAAGACAAGAGATAAAAAAAATACGATTGCAAGGGCATATGCTCAGATCTAGAACGAAGCATCATAGATACTGGCAAGTACTTAATTAAAATAAAAACATCATCAGCACTGGCTCATGCTCAGATATATATGTAATCATCATAAAGACCATCTAGTGCCTCATGCCTCATGGTCATACATCATCAGAAAGAAGGGGACAAAGGGATATTATCGTTGTTATCGTAGCACAGGAAGAGAAACAACCGATGCAGAGAAATTTCAAAGGTGGTCTGCAAACCCTGAAATCATACAATCTAAATAATCTTTACTACTAGCAATCTTTAACAGCAAAGTATGGGAACAAGTGCACAAAATTAAAGAGGATTAGGGTTCACTGAACTTGCCTTTGTCCCCCAAATCAGATTTGCAACCCAAATCGATTCCCTGTAAAAATACACCAACAATCATTCTACATCGCACTAAAACACATCAAATCGAGGCGGGGATAGCAATTAGAAGTAAATTAGACAAGAACACAAGCAGATCGAGGGGTAGGGTTATGGATCTGGGGAGAACACTTGCCTTTTGGAGACTACCCCACCACCAATCGATCCCTCCTGCACCATCAAAATGAGAAAAAGAATTGAGACAAAGGACGGTAACAAACGCTGATGATGAACCGTGGGAGAGGGCATGGCTCAAAGAAGTCGGAGATGGGAAAGAAAGAAGACAGGGAGAGGGCGGACGAGGGCAGAGGGCGCTTACCAGGTGAGAAGACCGCGACTGCCGAGGACGGCGACGGCGGCGGTGCTATTTATCGCGGAGGGAAAAGGAAAGCGCGCGAAGAGAGGAGGTAACCCTAACCAGTTCTCGCCATCTCTGCGGATGCACACAGGGAGCTAAAAAATCGCCGCGGGGGCACGCGTCTCGCATCGTTGGAGTCAGGCTCAATGGAAATGAAGTCCCGCCGCGTTCCTCCTCAGCTTGGCCGAGGGGGGAATCTTGCACCAGTTGAGTCAGGCCCCAAACTCTAGTAAAGGCTACCAAACGCATGGATCCTACATGAACCGGGCCAGTCTGGGACATATGCTGGGTACCAATCACGTCCTAAGGCTCTCTTCCTGTGACATGTACGCACGAACACATCGTTTTGCTGACTTCCTGATCTCGGATTCGCCGCGTTGTTAAGGGAGGGACCTGATCAAAAAGATAAATGACAGCGCGGCACCGTTGATCAAGGATGACCTCAATCTAGGAAAATATTAGGTGCAAATCATATTCTTGGTGCAACCGTGAAAACCCTTCCAAAAACCTTGCTTAGAGGTTTCCAAAATTTATGAAATGATGCACATCCATAGTTCATCCATACATTTACGTAGTAGCAAAAGTTGGCAAACAAAATCAATCTAGAAAAACTCATATGAAAATGATAAATTTCATGTGTATTTGCACTAGAAGACAAATTCCCACTTGCACATGAAATTTGTCATTTTTGTGTGGATTTTTACACAATAAGTTTGTCTCCCAACTTTTGCTACAACATACATGTATGGATGAACTATGAATGTGTATCGTTTCATAATTTTTGGAAACCTCTAAGTATGGTTTTTGAAAGGATTTTCTCGATTACACGGGTGGTTTGCACCCAATATTTTCCCCCTCAATCCTGCATGCTGGAGTGCATCGTCGTTCGTCAATGAACATTATTACTTGCATTGCATGCAGCCGTGCGTGGTGTATGGGCGAGCCCATAAGCATCAGGTATACGTACTGCATAGTACTTAGGTCTTATTTAAATTCAGGTATAAAGTTTTAGGGTGTCACGTCAGCTGTCATATAAGGATGTCGCGTGGGGTGTTCGGATACTAATAAAAAAATAAATTACAGAACCCGTCAGTAATTCGCGAGATTAATTTATTAAGCCTAATTAATCCGTTATTAACACATGTGTTACTATATCACCATATTGTCAAATTATGGACTAATTAGGTTTTAAAGATCCGTCTCGTAAATTAGTCACAAACTGTGTAATTAATTATTTTTTAGTCTATATTTAATACTCCATACATGTGTCAAATACTTAATAGGATAGGGAGAAAACTTTAGGATGGGGATTTAAACAACTTTAGGGAGTAAACATTTTCTGGTGCAGTTAGTAGTACTGGTAGTGATCTGATTCTCCATGTTGGCGTGTACACTTGCTTCGTAATCAAGTTCATGCACGGAGCACCAAATCGAATTCGGCCACCGAGGGAGAGGGAGTGCCGGAGCCGGACAGAGCGGGCACGTGCACGGGAGACTTTGGCATTTCATTCATCATCAGAAACGGGTTTCACAATTTTATTATCCCTCAAAGTGGTTTCATAATTTTATTATTATAAAATAGATGCAACCCGCTAGATTATATTTTAGGTTATTTGAAGACGTCTTCTCCCATTTCTACCCCTGGCTGCTGTTACTTTCATCTGAATAGATCAGATACTGATGCTTTTTTGGCCTGCGCTTTCAAGTGATGGACGAGCCGAGCTTCTTCCACCAGTGGCAGTCGGACGCCCTGCTGGAGCAGTACATGGAGCAGCAGATCGCGGTGGCGTTCGGGCAGGGGGAGGTGGACCACGCCGTGGCGGCGGCGCTGTCGACGATGCCGATGCTGCAGCAGCAGCAGCCCGCGGCGGCCGAGCACCCGCACCACCCGCGCAAGGCAGCCAAGGTCAACACCAGCTGGGACTCGTGCATCACGGAGCAGGGCTCCCCCGCGGACTCCTCCTCGCCGACCATCCTCTCCTTCGGCGGTCATGCCGCTGCCGCGGCTGCGTCGTTGTAGAGCTCCACCACGCGGTCGTAGTTCTCCCCCCCACCGCTGCGCCTCCCACTTGTTGAACATGTCGCGGCTGCACACGTTCGATGCTCCGTTAGCTGATCACGCATTTGATCAAGCAATTGCGCGCAAAACTGTTCGTGCATGATAGGCACCTGAAGCTGATTCGCTTTAGGTCGTTGCCGGCGCCGCCCGGGATGGAGACGAAGGTGATCTGCACGCCGGGCTCCACCTGGGCCGTCCACTCCCGCGGCACGCGGTCCTCCTCCAGGACGACAACCCCGTCATCCTCCTCCTCCTCCCCGATGCTCGGTATCCAGCTCGCGCTCGGGCTCCTGACGTGCTGTCGTCGTGGATCAGGCCACACCAACTGAAACTGTTGGCATGCAGAGAGACTCGTCGTTCTACTCCCGCACCGGCTCGACGAGGGAGAGCCCGGTGATCCTGCCGTCGACGGCAGCGGTGGGTAGGGAGCAGCCGATCGTCCGCGCCACTTTGTGCAGGGCCATGGCGGCGGCGGCGGCGGTGGATTCCACGGCCCGAGCCGCGTGCAACCAGTCGTCCAGTGCCGTGCCGGACCCGTCGGACCACGTGTGGGTGCACCACTTCAACCTGCTCAACTCCGCGCCGGCGCCGCCGGCTGCTCCGCACCTGGACCCGTCGCGCGCTACCACGTCGTCCCTGGACGAGACGTCCGTGTCCGTGAGCAACGCGAGCGACCTGGAGGCCACGGAGTGGGTGGAGCAGGACGAGCCTGGCGTGTCGATCACCATCCGCGAGTTCGGCGACGGCACCCGCGAGCTCCGCCGCGTCCGCTTCAGGCAAGTCAATGGCCACACTAGCTATTCATTCTCCGGATGCAAGATTCATCGTCGGACATCTAATCATGCTGGAAATCTTGTTATGCTAATGGGATGTGATCTCGTGTTCTTGTTGCTGCAGCCGGGAGAGGTTCGGCGAGGATAGGGCCAAGGTGTGGTGGGAGCAGAACAGAGACCGAATACACGCGCAGTACCTGTGACGTCGGAGCAAGCTAGCTAGAGTACTGTAGGGTGCATCGGCTCCGCCTTGGCGAACGCAGCCGCGGCAGCGGCATGACCGCCGAAGGAGAGGATGGTCGGCGAGGAGGAGTCCGCGGGGGAGCCCTGCTCCGTGATGCACGAGTCCCAGCTGGTGTTGACCTTGGCTGCCTTGCGCGGGTGGTGCGGGTGCTCGGCCGCCGCGGGCTGCTGCTGCTGCAGCATCGGCATCGTCGACAGCGCCGCAGCCACGGCGTGGTCCACCTCCCCCTGCCCGAACGCCACCGCGATCTGCTGCTCCGTGTACTGCTCCAGCAGCGCGTCCGACTGCCACTGGTGGAAGAAGCTCGGCTCGTCCATCACCTGCGCACGCAAGCCAAGAAAGCATCAGTATCTGATCTATTCACGTGAAAGTAACAGCAGCCAGGGGTAGAAATAGAAGGTGACGTCTTCGAACAACCCAAAGTGTATTCCAGCGGGTTGTATCCGTTTTATAATGGCAAAATTACGAAACCACTTTAAGAGACGATGGGTGAAAGTCTCCGTGCACGGCAATCTCAGGCAGCGAGCGGGCACCGGAGGAAGCGCGGCAATGGCTCGTGATCTCCGACGCCCCGATCGCATCGCAGCAGGGCAGAACCGCAGAGCATGGCTGGCGCCCCGATGGAACCAATCAGTGCCCCGTCGGCAAGGCCAGAGCTCCAAAGCTTTAGATCATGTCTATGGATCGGAATGGGCACCATGCTGCGTGCTTGCAGCAGTTGTTGCCGGGTAACTGCGGGTACATAGACGATATAATAGATAGCTTTGGCCACAAGCGAGTAAATCACTCGTAGCTGCGCACGCATTGGTCCTTTTTTTTTTATTAATTTCATTATCTAGAAACAACTATAAAGCAGCAAATGTTCGTAGTTGTAGATAAGAGAAGCATTGAAACTTTTGTCGAACCAACCGTATTCAGCCTTCAGAATCAGGCCAAATATGAAACATAATAAAGGCCACCTTTCCTCACAACCTTTTTGACTCATACATATGTTCCTTCCTTGCCTTCATTAGCATCTTCAAATTATCTAACCCTTCCATAGTCTTCATTAGCAATTCTACAACATCCTGGCGCAACGTGTTGTTTAGGAAGTCTTCGTCATGGTCAACGTGATCATCATCCTTGCCACCATCTTCTTGACCACCACCATCCTCTATAAAAAAATAGCTACAGCTCCTTCGGACTCTTTGCAAGAAGCCGTTTTTTCAATGGGCGTTTGGCAGGGCTCCTTGCAAGAAGCCGTAAGGAACCGAAGCCGGAGATCTGCCAAAGGAGGTCTATATGGATGTAACATTCACAATAGAGACAATAATATATCATGTCTCCTTAATCAATGCATGCTTTTAGGGGGCTTAAATAAATTTGTTCATATCTTAGATATCAACCCTAATAAGGGTTTAATGATTTTGGTAGTTGATAGACAAGATAATCATTTGTACTAACAATGTTTGCTAGTATACAAGGTACATTAGTCGTCCTTAGGGGGTAAAGATGGGCTTAGCTAGGATAAAGTGGAGAACAAGCAATCAGCACCCCAAAGGAAGATAAAAGAGGATCAATGAAGACCCTAGAAGACAAGCAAGAAGTTCGAGATATCATCCAGTTGAAACAAGAAGTGACAGCAAACAAGAGATAGTCCGGCCATCGAGAAAAGGCACACGCTGGACTATCAAGGTAGAGTCTGGCCAAATACTCTAGTTTGAAACAAGAAACTATGCAAATACAAACACCGTACGATCCGACCAGTAGCAGAGGAGAGCACCAAAAAAATCATCCTCATTAATGGAAAACTCGTATAAATCCTCAAAAGACATTAAGCATGGGCGCATGGCATGACCTTACCTACTAAAGCCAACTTCTTCCAAAAATTCTAAGAGCAAAACCTCTCTTCTCTATTTTTAGAAATTTGACATCTCCAAGTGAACTCAAAAATGGAGGAGCTCGAGTTAGGATGGAATAGTCCGAGAAGGAGGAAAGGCTTTATAAGAGGTATTTTTAAGGGCTTTCCCCGCTATGAGATTCTATTTCTAGAGGTCGTTGGATTAAGTGAATCACCCCCTAAAAATAAATACATTTTAGGGCGGTTCATGAGTTACGGTGCTTCCTATCCTAACTAGAGACAGTGTACTAGGTGAACCGTCTCTAGAAAAAATAGGAGAATATTTAAAAAAATCATCAATCTACTAGTAGCGTTACACACGCCGAAACCTCCACGCCCTCCATCATGCAAAAACAGTTCAAGTTTAATTTAATTAAAAAGAGACCTAACATATAACAAACTAGTAGATTTTCAATCATTATTACAAAGAAGAAATTATGCCTTCAATTTATAGTTTAGAAAATTTGAACCTAGATAGTTGGGATGCATGATCGCGTCTTTCATTTTAGCCAATTGAGTTTATAATATAAATAAGATCCATTCTATGTGTCGGCGTTTTGGAACCGGGGGTTCTTAACCGACTAGTGAATTTGTGCTGCGTGCTCCCAATTCCGGATGGTGATGCAAAGAGACACAAGGTTTATACTGGTTCGGGCAATGGATGCCCTACGTCCAGTCTGAGAAGATGTTCTTGTATTTCTTGCACCGGGGTGCTCGTAGTAGGAGGTTACAAGCTGGGCCAGAGAGAGGGAGTTCGTCCCAGATCTCTGTGAGGGGAGGTGATATGAATTACAGAATGAGGCGTGTTGTTCGTGCGAGTATTCGTGACTCTATCCGTCGTCCACAGAAACGGTCCTGGCTGCCTCCTTTTATAGCCGCAGGGAGGAAACCAGGAGTACATAAGAGAGCTACACATGGAGCAAGGACTATTCGATGACGTATTTACTCCTGGAGCAGCATGGCGTTGTCGTGGGAGTTCCCGTAGATGTCTAATCGGTATGGTCTCCACTGCAAGTAACATGCTGCGCATTTGTTGACTTGGGGGATTGCAGAGGCTCGGCGGCCATCGTAACCGGTCGTGCCGAGGCCTGTCGTGCCGAGGCCTGTTGTGCCGAGGCCTGCCATGCCGAGGCCTGAGAAGTGACCCAGGTGCAGATGCGGGTCTCAGCGGCCATCAGGTGGAATAGTGCGAGACGTGCGCCTACAGGATACGGTACCTGTATTGTCGGTAAGGGATGGTAAAAAAGGTGATCTGACCGTTGTCCCGTCGCTCCTGTTGTAGCGCACTGCCGATTGTGGCTTACGTAGCGGGTGCAGCTGAGCGCATTAATCGGATGCGACAGCCTGCCAGAGAGACCTTTGAGGCGGAGGCGATGAGGTTGCGGGACGAGCCCGGCCTCGGGCGAGGCGGAGCGTGGCCAATTCGTCCGAGGCCCTACCGGGGGGTCTCGGGCAGCGGACGGGCGAGGCGGAGTAAGATCAGTGAATCCGAGTTCTTGTCGAGGGGGCTCGGGCGAGACGGAGCGGTCGGTCCGCTGATTCCGAGGCTACAGAACCCGCTCGACTCCCCACGCTATGGCGTCCTTGGTGCGAGTTAGCAAGACACGGTGGTCGGTAACCCCTGCTCTGTGTCGTCGCAGATGGCAGGACGTTGACGCGACTGGCGTGTAGTCGGTCACTTCGCTATACTGTGCCGTCGTGCATCTGTCGGAGTGGTTGGGCGCTTGGATGCAACGTTCAGTCAGAGCAGTTTGGTCGAAGAGGCGGTCACGGGGCTGGTGCCAAGCCGGCCTCGTGCGAATCAGAGAATCGACACTTCTTCTGCTGGGGCTCGGCGACGGGGTCTCAGGCGAATCGGAGATTTCGGCCGAGACCTCGTTTGTTTATTCCGTTGGATCTGTTTTTAGGGTCTAAGCAGTTTTTCGATCTTTGCTTGGGGTACCCCATTTTCTGGTATCCGACAGTAGCCCCCGAGCCTCGGGCGGGAGTGTGGGATACTCTCCCCGAGGTTTTTTTCGAGACTTTTGTTTCTCAGTGGCTCTTGTCGGGTTTGTTTTATACTCGCGATTCTGGTGGGTGCGCGCGAGCGCACCCACCGGGTGTAGCCCCCGAGGCCCTAGAGGAGTGAGTTTACTCCTTTAGGGGCTTTTTCTTTGTTGAGTAAGGCGCTCTATCGCATTTGCTAGACCCATGAGAGCTAGCTCGGGTCGCTTGTTTTTGTTTGGGGTGCAGGAGGAGCCCCCGAGCCTACCGAGCCCTCGCGTGCGATCCTAGGTCGCTGGGTCTCGGCAAGGTTTGTAGGAAGAGCCCCGGCATCCTTTTCGTTCGGAAGGAGGGTTTGTTTGCCGAGCCCTTCGTGTGCGAGCCTAGGCCGCTGGGTCTCGGTAAGGTTGTAGAAAGAGCCCCCGAGCCTCCGCACGTAGCGAGAGGGCGATCAGGAGTTCCCCTGGCTTTTTGTACGACCCTCGCGTATCCTTTTCGTTCGGAAGGAGGGGTTGTTTGCCGAGCCCTTCGTGTGTGAGCCTAGGCCGCTGGGTCTCGGCAAGGTTGTAGGAAGAGCCCCCGAGCCTCCGCACGTGGCGAGAGGGTGATCAGGAGTTCCCCTAGCTTTTTGTACGACCCTCGCGCATCCTTTTCGTTCGGAAGGAGGGGTTGTTTGTCGAGCTCTTCCTGTGCGAGCCTAGGCCGCTGGGTCTCGGCAAGGTTGCAGGAAGAGCCCCCGAGCCTCCGCACGTAGCGAGAGGGTGATCAGGAGTTTCCCTGGCTTTTTGTACGACCCTCGCGCATCCTTTTCGTTCGGAAGGAGGGGTTCTTTGTCGAGCCCTTCGTGTGCGAGCCTAGGCTGCTGGGTCTCGGCAAGGTTGCAGGAAGAGCCCCCGAGCCTCTGCACGTAGCGAGAGGACGATCAGGAGTTCCCCTGGCTTTTTGTACGACCCTCGCGTGTCCTTTTTGTTTGGAAGGAGGGTTTGTTTGTCGAGCCCTTCGTGTGCGAGCCTAGGCCGCTGGGTCTCGGCAAGGTTGTAGGAAGAGCCCTCGAGCCTCCGCACGTAGCGAGAGGGCGATCAGGAGTTCCTCTGGCTTTTTGTACGACCCTCGCGCATCCTTTTCATTCGGAAGGAGGGGTTGTTTGTCGAGCCCTTCGTGTGCGAGCCTAGGCCGCTGGGTCTCGGCAAGGTTGCAGGAAGAGCCCCCGAGCCTCCGCACGTAGCGAGAGGACGATCAGGAGTTCCCCTGGCTTTTTGTATGACCCTCATGCTTCCTTTTCGCTCGGAAGGAGGGGTGGAACATGCCAGGCTACCCTCGGTGGGCGCGAGCGGTGACATTTCCGGTGAGCTTTTATCAGGTAAGTCCGAGTGGAGGCCCATGCCCCATTCGATAGGGGTCGGCTAGTGGTCCGAGAGACGCGCCCAAAAAAAGTAGAAGGCTTCCTTAGCGGGT